TTCGGTTTTGGTTTTGGTTTTTGTCCCAAAGAATTCCCTCTAGGGCTTCGACCCGTCCTGCCGGCCAACCGGAAGGGCGCGCAGAGATGCACAACAGGTGGTTGCAAAGCGTTTTTCGGCTCCAGACGGCTCCAAGATGGCCTCCAAGATGGCCAATACGGCACAAGATGGCCTCCAAGTTCGCCCAAGACAATCCAAGATGGCCTCGATGACGGCCCAAGAGAGTCCAGGGATGCCTCCGAGTTCGCATTAGAAACACCTAAGATGGCCCAGGACGGCCCAGAGGCCTATAAGAGGCCTCCAAAACGGCCCAAGAGGCCTCGGAGAGTTCCACCAGGAAGGCCCGAAGAGGCCCAAATCATTGATGTTCCTTTGTGTTTGAAGGATTGTGATATTTTCTTCTTTTCAGCTTTCCGACGGCTCGAAACGACCCAAAAGGGACGCCCAAAACGGCTTCCAAGACGGCCAAGATGGCGTCCAAAATGCCTCCACGACGGCCAGAAAAACCTCCAAGACGGCGAAAATGGCCCCAATATGCACCCAACACAGATCCATATGTCTTGAATACGGCCTGAATAGAGCCTTAGACTGCCCAAAAGGCCCGCCAGAGGCCTCCAAGACGGCCCAAAACCCTTCCAAAACGTCCTCCAGGATGCATGAAAGCTCGGAAACCACATGGTCCGATAGCTCGCCCGACTCCGTGTTCCCCGAAGGCTTTCGAAACCCACTCGGGGAACGCGTGGCCCGATGGCTTGGCCAGGCTCAAACCCAACTTTCGGCCATGCAGGCGCTTCCAAAAGGCAGGGGGCGGCGGTGATCCGCCGTAGGCGTGTTCGAGCCGCCGGCCCCTGCTGATTCATCATAAGGGGTGCTTGGCGCGCAGAACCCCTTCGGTCTTGGTTTCGGTGTTTTTCCATTTCCTCCGACGGAAAAGACCCCGCATGAGAATTTGTTTGGCTTGCCCTTGCCTTTATTCCTCCTCGCCGTGACGGACACTCTCCTCTCGTCCGCCGTTCTGCCCTCACCTACCCCCTCTCCTATTTCTCCTATTTCTCCTTTTCCTCCTCCTCCTCCTCCTCCTCCTCCTCCTCCTCCTCCTCCTCCTTCTCCACTTCCTCCTCGTCATCACCCCCCCTACCCCTTCCCCGTCCTCATCCTTCCCCTGCTTCTTCTCCGCGCGCCCCTCCCCTTGCCCCTGGTCGGGGCAAGCAAATCGACGTTCCTCGGCGCCGTCGCCGCCGCGGCCAGAGCGCGCGCGCGCATTCCCCGACGGCTTGTTCGCGGAGCCTTTGGGGCAACGCCGCGGGCCGCTGGGGCGCGGGGGCAAGCGGCCGGGACAGCCCCGCGGGCCAAGCCGTTGGGACAACCCCGCGGGCTTCGAGCGGGGAGCAGCCGCGCTCAAGCGGGAGGCAGCATGAACCCAAGCTCTGCGGCGAGCTGCTCGGCCTCACCCCTGGACGTCTCCGCTCTCTTGTCGAACTCCAGGAGCGCCTTCCGCAAGGAAGCCGGCGGCCCGCGCTCCAGAAACTCGCGCGAGGGCGGCCGCAGGATCAGCATTTTCCGCATGCGCGTGGCGCGGGAGAGTATGACGTAGAGGTGCAGCCACCACTGGTCGTCCGACATTCCCGTGCGGCCAGCGTCCTCGTCCCTCGCGCAGTCGATGGTGACGCCCTTGCGGACCGTCTGGCCCTGCGACAGCGTGGAAGTGAGGTAGGACGCGTGAGTCAGAGCGAACCTCGAGCGGCGCAAGGCGTGCGACCCCGAGCCCTGCCACGTGAACTCCTGCTCGCAAGTGGAGAAGGAGAGGAGGAAGATAAATAAAAGGAGGGGGTGTAGGTGACGGCAGAACGGCGGGCGAGAGGAGAATGTCCGTCAGAGCGAAGAGGAAAAGGTTAAGGGCAAGCCAAACAAATTCTCATGTGGGGTCCTTCCGTCGACGTAGTCACAGGTTGCCGATGACCCGCTCGGATTACCAACATAAAATGAGGGACCCATAAGGAGGGGGCTCCCGACTGAGACTTCCTCGCAATTCACTCACAGACGAGGCTCCCGCTTGATACTTCCTCCAAATTCAAACCTGGGGAGCCCAAAAGTGACGACAAGTACAGGTTGCCGATGACCCGGTCGGATTACCAACATGGGGGCGGGACCCATAGGGAGGGGGCTCCCGCCTGAGACTTCCTCACAATTCACTCACAGACGAGGCTCCCGCTTGATACTTCCTCCAAAATGAAGCCTGGGAAGCCCAAGTGGCGACAATTACAAGTTGCCGATGACCCGCTCGGATTACCAACATGACATGCGGGACCCATAAGGAGGGGGCTCCCGCCTGAGACTTCCTCACAATTCACTCACAGACAATGCTCCCGGTTGATACGTCCTTCAAATTCAAACCTGGGGAGCCCAAAAGTGACGACAATTACAGGTTGCCGATGACCCGCTCGGATTGCCAACATGGTGGCTGGATCCACAGGGAGGGGGCTCCCGCCTGAGACTTCCTCACAATTCACTCACAGACGAGGCTCCCGCTTGATACTTCCTCCAAATTCAAGCCTGAGGAGCCCAATAATGACGACAATTACAGGTTGTCGATGACCCGCTCGGATTACCAACATGACATGCGGGACCCATAGGGAGGGGGCTCCCGCCTGAGACTTCCTCACAATTCACTCACAGACGAGGCTCCCGCTTGATACTTCCTCAAAAATGAAGCCTGGGAAACCCAAGTGGCGACAATTACAGGTTGCCGATGACCCGCTCGGATTACCAACATGACATGCGGGACCCATGGGGAGGGGGCTCCCGCCTGAGACTTCCTCGGGTGACATAAGCGAGTGACGGTGATTAGTGAGTGAGTGAATGAGTAAATGGGTGAGTGAGTGAGTGGGTGGGTGGGTGGGTGAGTGATGATGATGATGCTGATGATGATGCTGATGCTGATGATGAAGATGATGATCATGATGATGATGCTGATGATGATGATGATGATGATGATGATGATGAGTGGTGATGATTGCGATGATGATGATGATGATGATGATGATGATGATGTTGGTGATGATGCTGATGCTGATGCTGATGCTGATGCTGATGCTGATGCTGATGCTGAATGCTGAATGCTGAATGATGATGATGATGATGATGATGATGATGATGATGATGATGATGATGATGATGATGATGATGATGATGATGATGATGATGATGATGATGAGTGGGGTGTGATGGTGATGGTGATGGTGATGATGAGGAGGAGGAGGAGGAGGAGGAAGCAAGGAGGAGGAGAGGAGAGGGAGGAGGAGGAGAGATCCTGCGCGGAGGGTGTGCAGAGAAAACAAGAACCCCACTTAGGATGTGGGGAAAAAGAACTCCCCCTGGCGCTTCGGCCCAGCCCGCCGGGGTCCTGGAAAGGACTGGAAACTGCACATGTCAATGCCTGTCCCGCTCCAAGATGGCCCAAGATAGCCTCCAAGACGGCTCAGATGGCCCGAAATGGCCCTCAAGTTCGCCTAAGATGGTCGAAGATGGTTTCCAAGACGGCCCAAGAGAGCCCAAGATACCTTCGAGTACGCCCAAGAAGCCTCCGAGACGGCCCAAGACGGCCCAAGCCGGCCCAAGAGGCCTCCAAGATGTCCTCCAGAAGGGCCCGAAGAGGCCAAATTCATTCATTTCCCTAAGTTTTTTGAAGGATTGTGGCATTTGCTTCTTCTCGGCATTCCGACGGCTCAAGACGGCCCAAGAAGCCCCCAAGATCGCTCCAAGATCACCCACGAGGCTCCCAAGAGGGCCCCAAGAGGCCTCCAAGACGGCCAAGATGGCCTCCAAGACGGCGAAGATGGCCCCAAGATGCCTCCGAGACGGTCCAAGATGCACCAAAAACGGCTTAAGATTGCCTCAAAATGGCCCAAGACGACCCAGGAGGCCCCCAAGAGGCCTCCAAGACGGCCCAAGAAGCCTCCAAGAGGTCCTCCAGGAGGACCCGAAGAGATCAAAATTATTGAGTTTCCAAAGTTGTTTGAAGGATTTTGGCATTCGCTCATTATTGGCATTCCGACGGCCCAAGACGGCCCAAGAGGCACCTTAGATCGCCCACCAGGCCTCCAAGGTTGCCCCATGACGGCCCAAGAGGCTCCCAAGAAGGTCCCGAGAGGGTCCCAAGAGGCCTCCGAGGCGGCTCAGATGGCCTCCCAAACGGCTCAGATGGCCCCAAGATGCCTCCAAGACGGCCCAAGATGCACCCAAGACGGCCTAAGATGGCCTCAAGATGGCCTAAGACGGCCCAAGAGGCCCCCAAGAGGCCTCCAAGACGGCCCAAGAGGCCTCCAAGAGGTCCTCCAGAAGGGCCCGAAGAGATCAAAATTATGGATTTTCTCTACTGGTACACTTCTTCAACATTCCGGCGGCTCGACGGCCCAATAGGCCCCCAAGATCGCCCCAAGATCGCCCACGAGGCCCCAAAGACGGCCCAAGAGGGCCCCCAAGACGGCCGGCCCCCAAGGGGCCCCAACAGACCTCCAGGACGGCCAAGATAGTCTCCAAGACGGCTAAGACGGCCCAAGATGCACCCAGATGACCTCAACATGGCACAGGATGGCCCAAGAGGCCTCCAAGAGGCCTCCATGACGGCTCGACAGTCTTCCAAAAGGTCCTCCAGGAGGGCCGTCCAGAGGCCAAAATCATTGACTTTCCCCAGGTTTTGGAAGGTTGTTTGGCATTTCCGCCTTTTCGGCCTTCCGACAGCCCAAGACGGCCCAAGAGGCCGCCAAGGTTGCCCCAAGATCGCCTAGGAGGCCTCTAAGATGGCTCCATGACGGCCCAAGAGGCCCCCAAGACGGCGACCTCCAAGACGTCCAAGATACTCTCCAAGACGGCCCTGAAGCGCCCCAAGAGAGCCCCAAATCGGTTCAGAGAGGCCCCCAAGACGGCTTCCGACGGTGTCAGCCGGGTCGGGAACGCCCTCAGACGGCCAAAGAGGCCCCCAAGAAGCCCCATCCGTCAACCAGTGCTCGGCCACCCCGACCCCCCAGCTGGATGCAGGCAACGGCAGTTGCAGCGCCAGCTGCATGCAGCAGCAACAGCAGCGCTGGCAAGAGCAGTAGTAGCAGCAGCAGCAGTATCAGCAGCGCCGGCGCTTGCGTCGCGCCAGGCCGGCGCCAGCGCGCCCCGTGCTGCCGCGCAGCAGCTGCCTGCGCGCGCCGCTGTACCAGCGGCAACCACGTTGGCGCCAGCAGCCGCAGCATCAGCACAGGGTGGCATGAGGGGATGCCACAAGGACGATGCACCCGCGCGAGCCGTCGCGTCCGCCAGGCGCCCGCAGCTTGCGGACTGCCAGCGTGGATGGGGGGCAGCGCTCGGGGGGGGTAGGCTCAGGGAGGGAGGCATCGACCCTTGTAGAGGGCCAAAAATCCACCCCCGTTCTACTGCGACCAAATGATTAAAACAAAACTTGGCGGTGACGATTACAAACATAGTTTTCCTGAACAGAAGCTTAAACACCGCCATAAACGAGCAAAACATTAAACAGAGGAACAAACAAAAAAAAGCCTGGAACAAACAATCACACCGAACCACGACACATATCAATTCGGTAAACAGGGAGCGCGGGGTTGCGCGGGGTTGCGAGCGCAACGCGCGGAGTGTTTTGAGGTGGGATGCCCCACGCGTTGCGCACGCAACCCTGCGTTCCGACGGCGTCTCCTTTGCGGATAGGACGTATGGAGGGGGCGACGACGACGGCGTCCTTTGCGGATGGGACGGGACGTAGGGGGGGGGGGACGACGGACGACGGCGGCGGGGTGCGACGACGGCGACCCTTTGCGGATGGGATGCAGCAGGGAGGCGGGGTGCGACGACGGCGACGGCGGCGGTAAAGCGCGACGATGGCGCCCCCCGGCGCCTCTTTTGCGGATAGGACGTGGTGGGGGTGGGGGCGACGAGGGCGTCCTTTGCCGATGGGGAGGGGGAGGCCGGGGGGGGGTGCGACGACGACGGTGCCGGGGTGCGACGACGGGCGCTCGTTGCGGATGGGACGTGTGTGGGGGGGGGGAGGGGGCGACGACGACGGCTGCGGGGTGCGACGACGGCGCCGTCTGGCCCCCTTTGCGGATAGGACGGAGGGGGGGGGATGCGACGACGGCATCCTTCGCGGATGGGACGTGCGTGGGGAGTAGGGTGGGTGCGACGACGACGGCGGCCTGTGCGAATAGGAGGTAAACGGGGGGGAGGGGGGGAGGAGGGAGAGGGGAAGGGGGGGGGGAGGTGGGAGCGACGACGACGGCGCTGGGGGATGGACGTGGGGGAGGGGGGGGGCGCCTCGAGAGCCTTTGCGAGAAAAGTAAAGCAATCTTGAGGCAAAGAGCGAACCTTTCCCGAGTCTTCTGGGAGTCTCCGCAGGCATCTGAGGGGGCGCCTCGAGAACCTCTGGGAGAACCTTGGGGCCACCTTGGGGTAAAACGCTCGTAAAGCTTTGGGAGGTCCCTCTTTTGTCTCTTTCTTGGCGCGCGCGCTGACGTTCTAGCTAGGCTGGACAAATGAACTCCTGGGATCTAGATTTGTACGATGGTTTCGGTGGCAACCAAGAGGACAGGGAGACGACCCAAGAGAGTGCCAAAACAGCGTCAGAAAATTCAACAGCATTCCCGAAAAATCTGTGCAGTGTGACCCCGAAGTCTTGATGGGGCTCGGATGAAGTTGAACAACAAGAAGATCACTGGATTCTCTTGTTACCTAACATCGAAGACTGATAGGTTTCTAATGGGCTAAAAAGAGAGCAGCACATTACTCCACAGGGGGGTCTGGGCAGCCGTTGGGGGGCCGTTGGGGTTTGCCGGGGGGGATCGTTTTTCGCATACAGTCACACACTTCGTGCTTTTCGATTTCCCAGAACTCCATTCCCGGGCCACATTCTGAATGCCCGGAGCCAACTGTACGCCACTTCGTGCTCTTCGACTTCCCAGAACTCCATTCCCGGGCCACATTTTGGATGCCCGGAGCCAACTGTAGGCCACTTCGTGCTCTTCGACTTCCCAGAACTCCATTCCCGGGCCACATTTTGGATGCCCGGAGCCAACTGTAGGCCACTTCGTGCTCTTCGAGTTCCCAGAACTCCATTCCCGGGCCACATTTTGAATGCCCGGAGCCAACTGTAGGCCACTTCGTGATCTTCGAGTTCCCAGAATTCCATTCCTGGGCATGATTTTGAATGCCCGGAGCCAACTGTAGGCCACTTCGTGTTCTTCGAGTTCCCAGAATTCCATTCCCGGGCCACATTTTGAATGCTGAGGCAGGCTGAGGCTGAGGCTGAGGCAGGCTGAGGCTGAGGCAGGCTGAGGCTGAGGCCGAGGCTGAAGGCAGACTGAGGCTGAGGCTGAAGCAGGCTGAGGCTGAGGCAGAGGCAGGCTGAGGCTGAGGCAGGCTGATGCTGAGGCAGGCTGAGGCTGAGGCTGAGGCTGATGCAGGCTGAGGCTGAGGCAGGCTGAGGCTGAGGCTGAGGCCAAGGCTCAAGGCAGACTGAGGCTTTGGCTGAAGCAGGCTGAGGCTGAGGCTGAGGCAGGCTGAGGCTGAGGCAGGCTGAGGCTGAGGCTGAGGCTGATGGGCTGAGGCTGAGGCAGGCTGAGGCTGAGGCCGAGGCTGAAGGCAGACTGAGGCTGAGGCTGAAGCAGGCTGAGGCTGAGGCTGAGGCAGGCTGAGGCTGAGGCTGAGGCAGGCTGAGGCTGAGGCTGAGGCTGATGCAGGCTGAGGCTGAGGCTGAGGCTGAGGCTGAGGCTGAGGCTGAGGCTGAGGCAGAGCTGAGGCTGAGGCTGAAGAGCAGCTGAGGCTGAGGCTGAGGCAGGAGGCTGAGGCTGAGGCTGAGGCAGGCTGAGGCTGAGGCAGGCTGAGGCTGAGGCTGAGGCTGATGCAGGCTGAGGCTGAGGCAGGCTGAGGCTGAGGCCGAGGCTGAAGGCAGACTGAGGCTGAGGCTGAAGCAGGCTGAGGCTGAGGCTGAGGCAGGCTGAGGCTGAGGCTGAGGCAGGCTGAGGCTGAGGCTGAGGCTGAGGCTGATGCAGGCTGAGGCTGAGGCAGGCTGAGGCTGAGGCCGAGGCTGAAGGCAGACTGAGGCTGAGGCTGAAGCAGGCTGAGGCTGAGGCTGAGGCAGGCTGAGGCTGAGGCTGAGGCAGGCTGAGGCTGAGGCTGAGGCAGGCTGAGGCTGAGGCAGGCTGAGGCTGAGGCTGAGGCTGAGGCTGAGGCCGAGGCTGAGGCAGACTGAGGCTGAGGCTGAAGCAGGCTGAGGCTGAGGCTGAGGCAGGCTGAGGCTGAGGCTGAGGCTGAGGCAGGCTGATGCTGAGGCAGGCTGAGGCTGAGGCTGAGGCTGATGCAGGCTGAGGCTGAGGCAGGCTGAGGCTGAGGCCGAGGCTGAAGGCAGACTGAGGCTGAGGCTGAGGCTGAGGCAGGCTGATGCTGAGGCAGGCTGAGGCTGAGGCTGAGGCTGATGCAGGCTGAGGCTGAGGCAGAGGCTGAGGCCGAGGCTGAAGGCAGACTGAGGCTGAGGCTGAAGCAGGCTGAGGCTGAGGCTGAGGCAGGCTGAGGCTGAGGCTGAGGCAGGCTGATGCTGAGGCAGGCTGAGGCTGAGGCTGAGGCTGATGCAGGCTGAGGCTGAGGCAGGCTGAGGCTGAGGCCGAGGCTGAAGGCAGACTGAGGCTGAGGCTGAAGCAGGCTGAGGCTGAGGCAGGCTGAGGCTGAGGCAGGCTGAGGCTGAGGCTGAGGCAGGCTGAGGCTGAGGCTGTGACTGCGACTGCCGTTGCCACTGCGACTGTCATCGCGAATGCGACTACGACTGCGAGAACTGCAGAATTCTACAACTGGATTCTCATCCGAATCTTAAGGGGAATGCTTCCAGATATGCTCCTACACATCGATGTTAGGTTGCTTTGCCGGGATAATTTTTCAAGTGGAGCCTCCTATCATGTAGCGCGCAGGAGTCGGGGGGCCGAAGGGGCGTGCAAGGGGCTCTTGGGAGGCAGCTGGGAGGCCGCTGGGGGGCTGATTTGGGGCCCCTTGGGGCCACCTTTGGGCCTCTTCGGGGCTCTTCGGGGGCCTCTTCAGACTCTTTGGGGGACTCTTGGGGGCCTCCTGGGGGCCTCTTGGAGCGGAAAGCTGGGAGTGTCGATGTGTGTTCCACCTTGTGGGCGGCTTTTTGGGCCACATTGGGGCTCTATTGGGCTGCCTCGGGGCGCTCTTCGGCCGTCTTGCGGCCTTCTTGGCCCGTCTTGAAGCCGTCTTAGGGGCTCTTGGGCGGTCTTGGGGCGTTCTTGGGGGCCTTTTTCGGCCGCTTTGGAGCGTTGCAAGCTCGAAAACGCGAGAAGGGAACACACCGAACAAACAAAAAATTGGAATTAACGATTTTGGCGGGCGCTTCTGGGACGCCACTCGGAGCTCTCTTGGAGGAGCCTCTTGGAGAAGGGGTCGACACATCCCCTGCTACTCAGGAGGGGAAAAAAATCACAGACACAATTCGTTGTCGATCCCCAGGAGAATCTGGGAACCTATGGGAAGTGGGGAGGAGAAGACGAAAACCCCGAAGATCTTGGACAAGATGGGGAATCCTGGGATGCGTGTGTGTGTGTGTGTGTGTGTGTGTGTGTACTCCGGATTTCGTAATGAAAGGGAGGGGGTCTGGACCCTCCAAGACAAGCCATTTCAGACCTCCCCCGTGGGAAAACCCTCCAAAACATCGTCCCCAGACCCCCCAGGCCCTCCAAGATAGCCTGGAAGAGACCCCCCCCCGAAATGAGACCCCCCTCCCTTTATTACGAAATCTGGAGTATGTGTGTGTGTGTGTGCGTGTGTGTGTGTGTGTGTGTGTGTGTGTGTGTGTGTGTGTGTCTTGGCGGCCCCCTAGGAGCGGGGAGAACCGTCGGAAGTCTGTCCTGGGCTGCTTGGGAGCGTCTCGGCCCGTCCTTTTGCGTTCCAGGGGCTCTCTGAGGGCGTCTTGGGCCGTCCTGGGGCATTTTGGGGCCTCCCTGGTCGGGGATCTTCTGACCCGGGTCAATGCAGACCCCGGCCAATCTGGCCTTGCAAAATCCTGCAACATCCTGCAAGAACCTGCACTCAAACCCGGGTCAATGCGAAGGATCCTGCAAAATCCTGCAGGATCCTGCACCCACACCGGGGTCAATGCGACCCTGGTTCTGCAGGGTCCTGCAAGATCCGGCGCTCTGGCTGACCCCCGTTTGCATTGACCCCCGTCTCGAAGCTCCCGACCTGGGAGCCCGGGGCGCGGTACCGGGAGCTGACACCAGATGTCACGGAGGTGGGGTGCGCTCCCGGGGTGGGGGGCGGGGAGTGTTTTCTTATACCAAAAACATCGTTTCACCTATACGACCACCCTTCGGGTGATAAGGAGGTTGTGTGGAGGGGGAGAGGGGGGTAACCAACACCTGACACCAATCGATCTCACTATCGATCTCACTTTTTGGGACACCACGGGACACCACGGGACACTTGTCGATCTCACTATCGCTTTCACTATCGATCTCACTCAACGGGACACCACGGGACACCACGGGCCACCACTGGACACCACGGGACACCGCGGGACACCCCTCGATCTCACTATCGGTCTCACTATCGATCTCACTATCGATCTCACTCAACGGGACACCATAGGACACCACGGGACACCACAGGACACCTCGGGACACCACATCGATATCACTATCGATCTCTCTATCGATCTCACTCAACGGGACACCACGGGACACCACGGGACAACTGTCGATCTCACTATCGGTCTCACTTTTTGGGACACCACGGGACACCACAGGACACCTCGGGACACCACATCGATCTCACTAACGATCTCACCATCGATCTCACTATTCATCTCACTCAACGGGATACCATGGGACACCACGGGACACCTGTCGATCTCACTATCGATCTCACTTTTTGGGACACCACGGGACACCTCGGGGCACCACATCGATCTCAGTAACGATGTCAGTCCTGACCTCACCATCGATCTCACTATCGATCTCACTCAACGGGACACCACGGGACATCACGGGACACCACGGGGCACCGCGGGCCACCGCGAGCCACCGCCGGACGGACGGACGGACGGGCGGGCGGGGGAGAATCATTTGTCTTGACTTCGCCCTAGCAACGGTGGACACCACGGGGCACCACGGGACACCGCGGGAGACCGCGAGCCACCGCCAGACGGGCGGGCGGGGGAGAACCATTTGTCTTGACTCAACGGCGGACACCACGGGACACCACGGGACACCACGGGACACCGCGGGACACCGCGGGACACCGCCGGACGGGCGGGCGGAGGAGAACCATTTGTCTCGACTTCGCCCTAGCAACCGCGGGTTCATTCCCTTCGCGCGCCCACGCAGCTTCGCCTCGCCCGCACGCACGACACGAACGAAACGAAACGATTTCCTGGTTGGGGGTCTCCGTTCCACTGCGATCTCACCCCCCAACCTCCGATATTATATGTGTATATACAAGGAGAGAGAGAGAGAGAGAGAGAGAGAAAGAGAGAGAGAGAGAGAGAGAGCGAGACAGAGAGAGAGAGGGAGAGAGAGCGAGAGAGAATGATGCCTCCTTGCCCCGCCTCTTCCTCCTCCTCCTACTCCTCGTCCCTCCTCCTCCTCCTCCTCGTCCTTTCTCTTCCCACTCCCCTCTCACGCTGGTTCGCTCCGTCGGCGCCGCGGCCCATGCACGAGGGACGCGGGGGGGGACGATTAAACAAATAACCTCATGCCCGTGAGAATAAACACTAGGGGATAATAAAGTTCGGGGTTCAGGGAGAGATAATAAAAGTAGCCCAGCAGACCTCCGCATAATCTCGAAGTAAGAGATGATCAAGAGGAGACCAAGCCGAGCACGTTTTGAAACATCCTTGGCGTTTAGTTTTCATAGGAATATCCTCAACAATGGCTTATCTCTCATGAAAATTGTTTTGTAAGTGCTCGTGTAGGGTAGCTCATGTGCCTCAGTTTCCATGGATAATCAACCCCAGGGATAAACAAAGTTCAGGCGAGCGTGGGGACAGAGAGAAATATAAAAGAAGAAGAATACAGTAGAAGAAAAATAAGAAAGAAGAAGAAGAGGATAATAAGAAGAGGACGAAGAAAGGAAAATTCCAAAGTTCCAAATCTATCAATTTTAATTTACAAACGCTTTATGAAAATTGATGTTTTAAGTGCTCGTGTAGGGTAGCTCATGTGCTTCATTTTCCATGGATAATCAACCCCAGGGATAAAAAAGTTCAGGCGAGCGTGAGGATTCGCAGATCACTCTCCAGCCAAGACGCAGCTGCTCGACGCGTCCGAAAGGGACGCCTCGCCAGAGAGACAATCCAGCGACCTCTCAAGCGACTAACAGGAAGCATCTATACACAGGCTCAAGGGTGGGCGGGCTGGGTTGAGCCCAAAAACCCACGGAAGCGATTAGCATCGACGGCCTGACCTCTCGACCGATGGGGAAAGACATGCACGCAAAGGATATCCCCACCCGATCTTCTTGTCAGGCCAGCCTCTCGACGTTGTCTGTTCGCAGATCACTCTCCAGCCAAGACGCAGCTGCTCGACGCGTCCGAAAGGGACGCCTCGCCAGAGAGACAATCCAGCGACCTCAAAGCATCTAACTTCAAAAGATCCCCCTGGCCGTCAGGCCGTCATTCGCATCAAGGCACGGTGCACGGAACAGAGCCTACACTCACGGTACGCCTTTGCAAGCAAACTGGACAATCTGGACGGGTATGGTTCAGCAATCTTTGTCCAGAAGGCGCCCGACGGCGCCTTGCCCACAAGGGCTTTGTGCGGCGCCTGCGAGAAAGAGCAACAGCCACGGCCACTGCACTTACAGCTACTCAGGGCGTCTAGGTTCACGTGCACATACATGACTCTGGCTCGTTTTCTCCATTGCGTGCCGAAAGCACAGAAGTCAAAGTCGATCACCTTCACGTTGGTCTGCTTGGCGGCATGTACCGCCCACTTGGTCTGCCATACCCACGAGGTGGCCGGATTCTCGATTGCCGCTGGGACTCCACGCAGGGCGCACTCCAGAAAGAAGCTGAAGGAGAAGCACGCGAGCCTGTTCCCCAGCATCACCTTGAGCGAGTCGCCTGACGAGAGGCCAGGGAGTCCCAGCAGATGTTTCCCATCACGCAAGGCGGGGGGGCCGTTAGGCCTATTCCGCGCCATGGACCAGGAACTGCAGGGCATACCCAGCCAGACACCCTGGAGCAACTGCCCACGAAGCCAACCCCGAACAACACGTTGCACGCTGCGCCTGGAGAGGTCGCCCAGGGCGGGCTCGTGCTCCATGTCCAGCTCGAAGACACGCGGGGCCAGCCGAGAGGCCTGGCCGCGTCGCATGGCACGCGACCAGCTCCCGGAGCCACTGAAGATCTCCAGGTACACCTTCGACTTGGCGGTGTGGGTCCACGAGCTCAAATTCTGCATAGGGTGCTGCCAATAGTCACGGCGCAAGCGAGGGGCTGAGCTTGCTGCACTGGTCGTAGACGCTGGAGCTGCTCTTGGACTCGGCCTCCCTTTGCATAGCGTTTGAGACTCCGGTCGGACTCCCACCGCCCCCTTTTCTTGATGTCCCCGAACTCCCGAGCGTTGGTTAGCATCTCGTGGCTGGCACCGCCATGGCGCAGTTGGTACAGCACCGGGGGGCCCAGGGTCTCCAGGTCCAGGGCGGCGGACGCGAGGCTGAACGCTCGGGTCCATGACTTCATGCTCAGCGCGAACAGCGGCTGCTCTGGGTGTCGGCCCAGCACCAGTCGGTCCAGCACCTGATCCATCCACCCGAACTCTGGGTTGTCCAGCAGCAGGCTGATGTCGTAATCCTTTGTCTTCGACCTCGCCTCGAGCTCGGCCGGGAACAGGAGGATGGAGTACTTGCCCAGGTGCCGGGGCCCGCACTTCACCGGCCGCACGACCGAGATCACGCGCAGGGACAGCAGCTCGGAGGGGCGCAGGTAGAGGATGAAGGCCAGCACGGACGCCGTCGCCGCCACCTCCCACCCGTTCGTCACCATCCAGTCCGCCATCCACGCCACCACCGGCCAGGGCAGGGGAAGGCGAGCCCGGGGGGGCGCCATGGACTTCCAGCCCTTCAGCGCCCGCGGCACGCGCGGCATGTTGATCAGCTTCGGCAGCAGGTCCAGCCGGAAGTGGGTCACGGCAGCCGCCAGCTTCGACCCGTCCGGCGAGTCGTGGCCCTCGAAGTACAACTCGTTGAAGTATTCCAGGAGCGTCTCCTCCAGCTCTGGGATGGTGGACACTGGGAGCCTCGCAGCCGCGGCCCAGGTCAGGAAACGGTGGTATCGGGCCTGGTAGTCCAGCGTCGTCCTGTTGCCCACCGCCTTCTGCTCCAGGAACGACCGCTGTCCCGGCCCCCGCCAGTGGGCGCCCTCTGGATGCCTGGCCCGCCGACGCTTCGCTCGGGCGGTCCGCTCCAGTGGCTCCGCCGAAAGGTCCAGCCCCAATGTCGAAGCCGTTGCCGAGGAAGTGGTCCGCCCCGTCGGGGCCCCAGCTCGCCTCTTGCTCGAGGCCGGGCGGGGGCCCGAAGGCAGGCTGCCTCGCGCCAGGAGGCCGCCCGACGACGGAGCGGGCGCCGTGGCTATCACCACCGGCGCTGGGGCAGCAGGTATCTGGTGTCGTCGAAGCATAGCCCACGCCTGGCAGGTTCCTGGAGGCGCGGTCCGCGGAGTTCCGCTCGGAAGGTACCCAGCGCCAAAAGAAGGCAGTGCCGCTAGCTAGCGAAAGGGCTGCCAGCTGCCGGCAGATGCGCCCCATCTCTGGGCGCGAGGACCGCCCCTTGGTGGCAGCCAGGATCGTTCCCAAACAATCGCCCAAGCACAGATGGCACCGGTTGAAGGACGAGAGACGCCGAAGGATATGCCGAACAGCCACCACCATCCCACGACCTTCGAGCACGACTTGAGGTTCCGAACGACACCATCTGTGCGACACGACCGGGTACCACCCCTCCGCCCAGACGCCCTCTGGGATCTCCGGGAACTCCTCATTCTCCACCTGGGTCACCTCCTCCACCTCGAACGCGGAGCCTGACACGACGAACTCCTCATCCTCCTCCAAGTCCGTGATCACCTCCTGGAAGCCCCCTGGGTTCTCGAAGGTTGCGACCGACTCGGGCACGAAGGGGTCTCCAGAGCTCTGAGCCTTTAGGGCGAGGGACCGATGTGAGACGCCACCCTCCTGAGTCTTGCTGAATCTCCATCTCTCGTTGTACCGCGATAACTCCAGCGCAACAGCTGACGACGATGTTTTCTGAGTGACCCCCACGCCCCACCACGATGCGTCGACCGTCGTGAGCCTGCTGTCAAACGCGGCACCCGCGTCTCGGAAGCAGAACACGACCAGACTGGCGCACCAGCGGAGCTCGCGCAGGCAAGAGGGCCAGAGCCGAGCAGTTCGGCCCCCATACTGGGCAGAAAAAGCGCACAGCGAGTTGAGACAGGACAGAAGCTCGCGCCGGATCAGCGCCCTCGATGTAAAGTGTGAGACCACACGCGAGACCGTCTTGCCCGAAGCAAAGCCCTTCCGGCACAGCTCCAGGCAGGCCAGCCGTAGCTTCCACCGCAGCGCCGGGTTCAGCCCGATGATCGGGAACTTCTCGTCGAACTGCCAGCCCAGCGCGGCAGCGCCGAAACTGCACTCGACCCCGTGGGTTGGTAGGCCAGCCGCTCGGAGCCGAGAGTCGACCGCAGCAGCGGCAGCGGACGCCACCGACGGGTCGGTCGAGAGGCTCAGCGCGTTGTCCACGTACTCGGTGTGGATCACGTCGCTGGTGACGCCCGGCGCAGGACGCCTGTCCACGAAGCGGTTGGCCACGGTCAGCTGGGGCACCTGCAGCGCGGTCGCCTCCAACATCGTCTGGCAGATCCAGAGGCTGAAGGAGCAGCCCATCGGCGGGCACCGGAAGCACGGGTAGACCAGGTCCGTCCCGCTGAGAGGGCGCCCGTCCGAGGTGCAGTCAAGCCCCAGCAGGCCCGCGCGGCAGCTCGGCAGCGCGAAGTACCGTCGGAACTCCGGCGGCAGCAGCATCGTGTAGAAGGCGTCGGCCAGGTCCACCTCGGCCACGGCGATGGGCTTCCCGCTGTCCACGTGAAGGCCAGCGAAGCTCGCGCCAGACGCGAGGGCCACCTTGTCGGGGGCCCGGAAGTGCAGGGACGCATGCCTGCCGTCCAGGATGAGCCGCAGCTTCCCCGACTTCTTATAAACGAAGAACACACCCACGCTGCGCGCCTTGTCAGCGTAGGAGTCGATGAGGTTCCGGCGCTCGAGGATCCGCAACAGCTGGATGTACAGCTTGGGGTTCCTGAGCGCCGGGTCGATGTAGAGCTTCCGAGGACCGTCGGACTCGATCCGAGCCCGACCCTCGGACTGGGACAGCATCATATCATGAAGCCGTTCAACTATCTTGCGGCCAGCCCCTCCTCCCAGCGTGTCCAGCGCCACCGGCGTGAAACCCTCGTCCGGGAGCGAGAGGCTGTTGATGTTATCAAAGCTGAACGGAGCGACCGTGGCACTCTCGCCGGCGTAGTCGCTGAGAACTCGAAGCTCCTCAAGGGCTCCTGAGCCAGTCAATCCCTCCGGGGGCTTACCGAACCGTCGGACAGCATCACGAACGTTGTCCAAGGCCCGCTGCTGACCCGCAGAGACAGGCTGCGAGTGGTCGCCGTGGCGACAGGGCTGGCCGACGTACAGCTCGTTGAGGGTATTCACCACCTCGCTCACCATAGCATCAGCATGACCCCGACGAAGACCACGGCGGGCCACATAACGTGTGCAAGCGAAGCTGTTCGCCTCTGAACGGACCTGACGCTGTTGATCAGGACGTGGCAGTGGAAATAGATCACGTTGGCGCCCACCAGGCATGCCCTTGAAGTGCTCATCACCAGCGAATGGCGGGCCACCGCCGCTGGGCCCCCCTCCAGAAACGCGCGGACCGCCGGGGGGAAGCGGCCCGCGTGGTAGTACGCCCGTCATTTTCGCAAGGCCCGCTGCTCTTCGCGGGCCTTGCGTACTTGCTTCAACACCGAAGCGCCCCTCTCCACCTCCTTCGCCACATGCTCCAGGAGCAGGGGAAAGATCATGCTCTCCCCGTGGTCTCGGCTGAGACCGGTGAAGACGGCGCTCTCGTCGATGAACCCGAAACTCAGCAAGCTGTGACTGCCGCCCCCCCGACCTCGGCCCTTCTTGCCAGTCTTCTTGTTCTCCCCGGCCTCGCCGCCGTCCCCGGCGCCGTGGCCTCCGTGGTGGGGGTCCCGGTCCATCACGTAGACGTACTCGTACATCTGACACTTCCGAAGGATCTGCTCGGCGCCCGCGATGTTTGGCAGGTCCAGGCCGCCCCAGCACGCCATCGTGTAGATCGCGCGCATCCCGGCCTCATAGTCGTTCACGCCGTAGTCGTCCGCCGCCAGCCCGAGGGTCGCCTTCCAGAACCTGAAGTGATCCAGCGGCCCTCCCTGACGGCGGTCGATGAACTTGCAGCACCACAGGCACGTCCGCGGACCGGGGACGTGCCAGTCCACGAACGCCTCCTCGGTGAAGCTGGCGACGGCGTCGCGCCACTGCCGCAGCAGCCTCCCGCCTGGAACGGCAGGGTTCGGCAGGATCCCCATCAGGCGAGCATCCGACGCGGCCTCTCGCCCAGCGTACTCCTGGGCCGATCCCGAGATCGAGCGGATCGTCACCCATGAGCCGTCGGCCAGCGGCATGAGGCCGACGGACCCTCGCAGCACCGACCCGGCGGGCGGGGCCACGGCAGTCCCGCGCGCACCAGCCGTCGTCGACTCGACCAGCACCCACATGGCGGCCGCGGCCACGCCCGCCGCCGCAGGAACGGCAGCTCCGCCAGCAGCACATGCTCCGGCTCCTGCAGCTCCTCCGACGGCACCACCAGGTAGCCCACCAGCGGGAACCAGAGCAGCAGCCTGCGCCCCTGGGGCCTCCGCCGCCGCCACCTCACCTGCCTCCGCCAGGGCAGCCGGGCCGCCCTGACCGAAGGTCAGTGGGATGAGGAAGGGCCCCGCCGGCGCACCCAGTCCAAGGCGATGATGATCGGCCGCCAGCGCCGCCCTGCAGTAGTCCACGGCGGCCTGGTCGATCTGCTGCTGCTCCTGCATCGTCAAGTCCCGCCTGAAGCGGTGTGAATTCGCACCTCGGATCCCGGGCGGGAAGGTCGCCCGTGTGCCAGCGTAGCGCACGGCAATGATGTCGCTCCCGTCGCACGTGTAGTCCTCCTCGTAGATGTCCGTGTCCACGGTGCAGATCAGCACGACGAGCGGCGACACGACTTCAGCTGGTACTCTCGCCCGACGCCCCAAGATCAGCCGCTGGTGCCATAATGGCTCGCCGTCGTAGCGAACCCACGCCCACTGCTGCATCCCCGGCGCTGCTGCCATTGCTGGGGCCACGATCGCCGCCGCCATCACGACGACGCTTGCAGGCTAGCCACACGCCACCCCACGAGCTGTACACGTACCAGGCGATGAGGCCCAGGAACAGCAGCTCGTTCACCAGCACCACCAGCCAAAAGGAGGACCCAGCGCCGTCTGCCCCGGCCTCCTGCTCCGCCGGCGGCGCCGGGTTGGCAGGCGCCGGCCGTCCTCCCGGGCACGCCGGGCAGCCTGGGCACGGCGGGCAGGCCGCGCAGCCAGGGAACCCCGGGCACGCCGGGATCGTGATCGAGGGGCAGCGCTGCAGATTGCCGCCCCGGAGATATGCAAGAGCCCCCTGCCACGCGTATTGGGCTGCGGGCCAGAGGAAATCCATTCGCACTGCCTGGATGCGAATTCCTTGAGCCCAAAAACCCACGGAAGCGATTAGCATCGACGGCCTGACCTCTCGACCGATGGGGAAAGACATGCACGCAAAGGATATATAAAAGAAGAAGAGGAAAGTAGAGACCTTGCTCGCCGATGCAGGCCCGATAGCCCGCCCAGCCCAGGGGCCTGTCGCCGATCTGTCGGCGACGTATCGCCAATTCCAGGTCGATGCTTCCCCCTCTCGCTGGTTTCGGGTCATAACTCGGGTCTCTGGCGAGCGTTCGGCAGCACCCCGCTGACCCCGGAACGCTCCCGGCGAGGCGCAGCCGCTGGAGAACACCCCGAGGCTGGAGAACCGCCGAGACCCGACGAGGACGATCGACACTCTCGAGCCTCGACAGAGGAATCACCACAACTTCATACACATACACGTTCGGAGGTCCGCGCGGATCTCTCGACTCGGCGCTGGACCCCCCTCCCTGGCGAGCAGAGAGCGCCACGGAGCAGCGCCGGAGACGCAGCGCGCCAACGCCGATCCGAGACATCCGCGCCGACTTCAGACCAGGCATGTGTACGCCGTTGTTTGTCCCTCGACGCGAGCCTGTCCTCCCCCAGCGCAGCAGGACTGCCCCCGCACGCTGCCCCTGAACGGTGCGCGGCCTGCACCGGCCCCCCTCGTAGGCCTCACCGAGGGAGCACAGCGGACTTGCTCCGCAGATCCGCCGCCGCACCCTGCAGCATCTGGTGCGCGCTGGGCAGCTCACTTCCCCCCCCCAGGCAGTGCTTGCATGTGCGAGTTCGTTCTCGCCTCTGCCCCTGAGAAATGTGCTGATCCTCCTCCTCATCCTCCTCCTACGATGCCGCCCGTTGCCGCCGCGGGGGGTATGTCGAGGGTCCGCCCCGCTGCCGCCCGTTGCCGCCTCGATGCCGACTCGCTGCCGCTTCACCACGCAGCTTGCACTTCGGAAGGGCAATCACTCGCTGTGTGGGGCCACGCGGTTCCGCATGTGTGGTGGGTTTGCTTTCCACCGCCACCACCAGAAGTAGGAGGGGGATGGGCGTCCTCCTCCTCCTCCTCCTTCCCCCCTCCAACTTCTGATGGTGGTGGTGGAACACAGGCCTATCAATGTGTGCTGTCCGCTTTGCTCAGCACTGCGCTGTGATGACATTCGGCCCTGACCCTCGAGTGGATGAAGTGGGCCACGGTGGCGGCGCTGGCGGAGGCGACACGTGGCGGCGACACGCGGCGACACGGTGTGGCAGCGGCGAATCGCAGGACCTCGTCCACACCGCCGCCGGTGGCGGCGGCGGCGCTGCGAGCATCGAGGCCACCTTGCGTCCATCAGTTGGACCGAGCCCCCTGCGCGTCGTGCTCACCAGTGCAGACCACATGTGCACACATCATTCGCTCGGGCAGCACCCTCTGCGGAACGCACCCCCCCTGTCCTGGCGCAACACCACCCGTCGAGCGGCTTGTCGGGTGCCTCAGAGGCAAGACATGGACCACCAACACCGAGAACTCCTTCGGGGGGGGGACCGACCCCTGAGAGGTGGCACGCCCGAGCGTTGTCTCGTGCTGGGTGACACTTGGGCGTGCCACCGCCCAGTGGCGGTAGTCCATGTTTTTTCGCTAAGCTTCGCGCGGAAGCGCAACTGGATAGCAAGTGCAGAGGAAGAGCGCCGTGCTGACCATGGAGCCTATGAAGATGCCGGCCAGGAGCCACGAGCTCGCGCTGTCCAGCCCGCGCGGCCCAGGCGCTGCTACGGAGCCCACTTGAGCGGACATCGCGGCCGCGGTGGGCAGCGTCGTGGTGGGCGTGGAGCCGAGCATGGCAGGCGTGGAACTCGTCCTTGAGCATCGTTCAGCCGATCACTATCCCACTGGCGTTGCCTTGGCCCCACTGGCCGAATGACCCACCTAGGTGGGGATATATGCCTGTTCCTTCGCGTTTCCCGGGGCCTATCCCTACCTAGGAGGGCGGGCTGGTGGGACTGAGATGCCATGGCACAGTCGGGACGGGGATGGGATAGACGATGCCGAGTCCTGGAGGTTGTGAACGTGGAAGTGGTAGGCGGAGGTGGAGCACGTGGGTTTCGTATCGCAGTCATGGTGGTGTTCGCCATTGCGCTCGGAGTGGTTGTAGAGGTCGGCGTGGTGGACCCGATACAGATACTCCTGGCGTCTGGCGACTCGTATGTTGCGTTGCCGTGCGTGCTGAAGACAACGGCGGGCCTGCCGCGAAGCATGTACACGCAACCTTGCCAAGACTGAAAGGTGGTCCCGAGGGAAGGAGACTGGTCCGATACCCCAGGGCCCAAGGCTCCGAGAGGACGGAACCAGCGAAAAAAGACTCAGGACCCGTTTCCCTCAAAACCCCTCTCCCCCCCCGTGGCGACAACCGTAGGCTCCCCCGCCAAGGCTGGCAGCGTACTCGTCCTCATCGTCGACGTCCAGCCCGAGAGTGTCCTCGGCAAATGCGATGCACAGAGACTCGTCCAGTATGTGCTGCAGCCCGGCCTGCGCGCAGCTGATGCCTGGCTCCAGCATTGTCTGGACGGCCGCCGCCGCCGCCGCTCCAGCGGACGGTGCGGCCGCCAGGGCCACCGAGAACAACGCCGCCCAGGGGCATGCGGCCCTTGTGGACAGGCCGGGCCAGGCCGCTCCCATGGTCCCGGCGCTTGACGGCTCGATTCAAAGAGAAACTACTGGACAAAGGCAGACGAGGTGGAACCCTGCATCTCGGTCTCGACATGGTGACACCCTTCTCCTCCTTCAAATCCTGCTCTCGCCTCCTCGCCTGCGCTCTTCACCGCTCATTCCTCCTCCCTGCTTCCTCGTCCTCCTCCTCCTCCTCCTCCTCATCCTCCATCTCATGAAGAACGCCTCCCTGGCACACTCCCGTCGTGAACAGTTTAAAGTATGCAGGGCGGCTCCGTTGTCAGAATGTGGCTCACGTCTTAGGTTCGCGACGTTGAAGTCGCAGAAGTTGCGTTCTGGCATGATTGAAGATTGTCAGACGATTGGTGTACTTTCCCGCACAGACAATCCGCCGAGGTTCTGGAGCGTCCAATTCTGTCGTCCGTGGCTGCAAAGACATGCCAAAACGGTCACACATCGCCGAACGACTGGCCCAACACGCCCACGACGGCTCCGAGATGCCTTCAAGACGCCCTGAGGGAGGCCCAAAAGCTTTCCCACGAGGGCCCTGCGAGGCCAACGATTACCCTGGCCAAGACCCAACCCATTCAACGCGAGTAAAGACTATCAGCCAGACCGCTTAATGTACAAGAACTCGTTATGGAGTTCCGAGGTATCCCTGAAAACTTCGTCGGAGAGCGTCGGACAGGGCCCAGCCGAAATGGACCAGAGTCACCATGCGAACCCTACCACTGGGGCCTTCGGGTGGAGCTCGCTGTGGGGCCACGAAACGTGTGAGGGGTGTGCCAGGATGGACCCGAATAACCATGCGGACGCTGCCATTTGGGCCTTCGGGTGGAGCTCGCTGTGGGGCCACGAAACGTGTGAGGGGTGTGCCAGAATGGGCCCCAGTAACCATGCGGATGTTATTATTTGGGCTTTCGGTGGACCTCCTTATGGGGCCGCGAAACCTTAGCGGGGGGGGCCAGAATACCCATGCGAACGCTACCACTTGGGCCTTCGGTGGAACTCCCTATAGGGCCACGAGACGTGCGAGGGGTGTGCCAGAATGGACAGGAATAACCATTGGGCTCTGATTTGGGGCGTGTTGCGGAATCGCCAGCGGGCCGGCGACCGCGCGGGATTGTTGCGCAGGGACCGACCGCCCGAACATCCCTGTAGGCCTGCCACGGTGCGTCCATAGAACCAGAGAGAGAGTTCTGAGGCAATGAGCTCTGCTCTTAGAACATCGAGCTGACGCGTGCAAACACGACAACCTGCCAGAAATGCTCTGCGAACAGCTCGCGCAGACCATGTATCGGGGGTGGACAGAACCCCCAACAGTGACAATTCGATTAGTGAATTGTCCGTTGTCGGTTCTCGAGAGGGCGCCGCGGCCGCTATTTTCCAGGCTTGCGCCCGCCAGGTTTGGGCCTCAGGCCGTTTTCACGAAACCACGTTCTGCTAAAGGGAGGTCCGTCTACCCCCGAATGTAACGTTCTCGGAGCAGCCTCCGGTGTGCCTGCAGGCCAAGCCTGGACGCCCTCGCCGCTGCTTGAGAGATTGAGCTCCTGGCGCCCGCGCGCAGGGCTCTGGACGCCCGAGTTATCCGGGGTAACTCGGGTCCGGGGTAACTCGGGTTTGGATTCCCAGAAAAGGAACCCGAGTTAGCCCTGACCCGAGTTATCCCTGATGATTCGGGGCTCTGGACGCCCGAGTTATCCGGGGTAACTCGGGTCCGGGGTAACTCGGGTTTGGATTCCCGGAAAAGGAACCCGAGTTAGCCCTGACCCGAGTTATCCCTGATGATTCGGGGCTCTGGACGCCCGAGTTATCCGGGGTAACTCGGGTCCGGGGTAACTCGGGTTTGGATTCCCGAAAAGGAACCCGAGTTAGCCCTGACCCGTTATCCCTGATGATTCGGGGCTCTGGACGCCCGAGTTATCCGGGGTAACTCGGGTCCGGGGTAACTCGGGTTTGGATTCCCGAAAAGGAACCCGAGTTAGCCCTGACCCGAGTTATCCCTGATGATTCGGGGCTCTGGACGCCCGAGTTATCCGGGGTAACTCGGGTCCGGGGTAACTCGGGTTTGGATTCCCGAAAACGAACCCTGACCCGAGTTATCCCTGGACGCCCGGGGTAACTCGGGTCCGGGGTAACTCGGGTTGGATTCCCGAAAAACGAACCCGAGTTATCCCTGACCCGGATTCGGGGCTCTGGACCGAGAGTTATCCGGGGTAACCGGGGTAACTCGGGTCCGGGGTAACTCGGGTTTGGATTCCCGAAAAAGGAACCCGAGTTATCCCTGACCCGAGTTACCCCTGATGATTCGGGGCTCTGGACGCCCGAGTTATCCGGGGTAACTCGGGTCTGGGGTAACTCGGGTTTGGATTCCCGGAAAACGAACCCGAGTTATCCCTGACCCGAGTTATCCCTGATGATTCGGGGCTCTGGACGCCCGAGTTATCCGGGGTAACTCGGGTCCGGGGTAACTCGGGTTTGGATTCCCGGAAAAGGAACCCGAGTTATCCCTGACCCGAGTTATCCCTGATGATTCGGGGCTCTGGACGCCCGAGTTATCCGGGGTAACTCGGGTCCGGGGTAACTCGGGTTTGGATTCCCTGACCCGAAAAGTTATCCCGAGGGTTATTCCCTGACCCGAGTTATCCCTGATGATTCGGGGCTCTGGACGCCCGATTTATCCGGGGTAACTCGGGTCCGGGGTAACTCGGGTTTGGATTCCCGAAAAAGGAACCCGAGTTATCCCTGACCCGAGTATCCCTGATGATTCGGGGCTCTGGACGCCCGAGTTATCCGGGGTAACTCGGGTCCGGGGTAACTCGGGTTTGGATTCCCGAAAAGAACCCGAGTTATCCCTGACCCGAGTTACCCCTGATGATTCGGGGCTCTGGACGCCCGAGTTATCCGGGGTAACTCGGGTCCGGGGTAACTCGGGTTGGATTCCCGAAAAACGAACCCGAGTTATCCCTGACCCGAGTTATCCCTGATGATTCGGGGCTCTGGACGCCCGAGTTATCCGGGGTAACTCGGGTCCGGGGTAACTCGGGTTGTTCCCGACCCGAGTCCTGGAGTTCCCTGATGATCGGGGCTCTGGACGCCCGAAAAACGGGTCCGGGGTAACTCGGGTTTGGATTCGAGGAACCCGATTATCCCTGACCCGAGTTACCCCTGATGATTGGGGCTCTGGACGCCCGAGTTATCCGGGGTAACTCGGGTCCGGGGTAACTCGGGTTTGGATTCCCGAAAAGGAACCCGAGTTAGCCCTGACCCGAGTTACCCCTGATGATTCGGGGCTCTGGACGCCCGAGTTATCCGGGGTAACTCGGGTCCGGGGTAACTCGGGTTTGGATTCCCGAAAAGGAACGAACCCCGAGTTATCCCTGACGGGGCTGGGACGCCCGAGTTATCCGGGGTAACTCGGGTCCGGGGTAACTCGGGTTTGGATTCCGGGAAAACGAACCCGAGTTATCCGACCCGAGTTATCCCTGATGATTCGGGGCTCTGGACGCCCGAGTTATCCGGGGTAACTCGGGTCCGGGGTAACTCGGGTTTGGATTCCCGAAAAAGGAACCCGAGTTAGCCCTGACCCGAGTTACCCCTGATGATTCGGGGCTCTGGACGCCCGAGTTATCCGGGGTAACTCGGGTCCGGGGTAACTCGGGTTTGGATTCCCGAAAAACGAACCCGAGTTATCCCTGACCCGAGTTACCCCTGATGATTCGGGGCTCTGGACGCCCGAGTTATCCGGGGTAACTCGGGTCCGGGGTAACTCGGGTTTGGATTCCCGGAAAAGGAACCCGAGTTATCCCTGACCCGAGTTACCCCTGATGATTCGGGGCTCTGGACGCCCGAGTTATCCGGGGTAACTCGGGTCCGGGGTAACTCGGGTTTGGATTCCCAGAAAAGGAACCCGAGTTAGCCCTGACCCGAATTATCCCTGATGATTCGGGGCTCTGGACGCCCGAGTTATCCGGGGTAACTCGGGTCCGGGGTAACTCGGGTTTGGATTCCCGAAAACGAACCCGGGTTAGCCCTGACCCGAGTTACCCCTGATGATTCGGGGCTCTGGACGCCCGAGTTATCCGGGGTAACTCGGGTCCGGGGTAACTCGGGTTGGATTCCCGGGGACCCGAGTTAGCCCTGACCCGAATTATCCCTGATGATTCGGGCTCTGGACGCCCGAGTTATCCGGGGTAACTCGGGTCCGGGGTAACTCGGGTTTGATTCCCGAAAAGAACCCGAGTTAGCCCTGACCCGAGTTATCCCTGATGATTCGGGGCTCTGGACGCCCGAGTTATCCGGGGTAACTCGGGTCCGGGGTAACTCGGGTTTGGATTCCCGAAAAAGGAACCCGAGTTAGCCCTGACCCGAGTTACCCCTGATGATTCGGGGCTCTGGACGCCCGAGTTATCCGGGGTAACTCGGGTCCGGGGTAACTCGGGTTTGGATTCCCGGAAAAGGAACCCGAGTTAGCCCTGACCCGAGTTACCCCTGATGATTCGGGGCTCTGAGTAACGTTCTCGGAGCAGCCTCCGGTGTGCCTGCAGGCCAAGCCTGGACGCCCTCGCCGCTGCTTCAGAGATTGAGCTCCTGGCGCCCGCGCGCAGGGCTGCTTCGCCCGGGCCCCGTTCCCTGTGCGCGCGGGGGGGCCGGCCGCGCCAGTCCCATATCGGCAGCGGCCGGCAGAGGGCCCCTGGCCCCCTCCTCCCCCTCCTCCTCCTCCTCCTCCTCCTCCTCCTCCTCCTCCTCCTCCTCCTCCTCCTCCTCCTCCTCCTCCTCCTCCTCCTCCTCCTCCTCCTCCCCCTCCCCCTCCTCCATTTCCTCCTCCTCCTCCCCCTCCACCTCCTCCTCCCCCTCCGCCCTCGGGTGCATCGGCGGCGCGCCCAAGAGGGCAGGTGGAGGGGGGAAGGCTTCTTGGAAGGAGGCTGCTTCTCTTGAGGGGTGAAACAACGACCCTACCCTGGGTTGCAAGTGCGTGGTCTGTAAACCTCCTGGGAGCCCCCAGAGCC